GGTCAAATCCAAGATCACCATTGAATTCCTCGTCAAAAGTTACTACAAGAGTGACCTTAACATTTTTCAAAAATAATTTACCTGGGAAATTATTCAGGTGTTTCCAGACTTTTTGGACACCCTATATATTTGTGTATTATTACTATTATAATTTTTTTGTTATTGTACGAACATTTTTATAATATGCATAGAATATTATGTGCAATTGACATATTACATCAATATAACACTCTAAAAAAAATAAAAAAATGTTTCATAACAATCGTTCAATATTATAGGAATATTATTTTAATACTGAAAAATATTCATATCATATTCAAGGATTACGTGCTTAAACGGTTCTCTCTCTCTCTCTCTCTCTCTCTCTCTCTCTCTTCCTTTCTCTTTTTCTCATCTCGTATCATTACTTTGAACAGTGCGATATCAGTTGGCTCGCTTCCGTTTTCCCTCTTCCATTTATGCACACTCAGACATTTCATCTATTCGTGTAATGCATAGTCTATAATGGCAGTAGAAGTATGTCCGCAAGATGTAACAATAATAAATTGACCAATCATATTCAATATAATATCATAGTAATTTGATATTCCAATCATATTATTAAAATTGAAATAGTATAATTTGAAATAGTATGTCATTTGATATTCCAACCAAGGATAAGGAATGGGCAGGTAAGAAATTTACAAATATTTTATAACATCTTTTTTTATTTGCCAGTGAAAGGCATTTTCACATTTATTGTATATTTATTGTACATTTATTGTACATTTATTGTACAAGCAGGCATTTATACACAAAATGTCAATATTTTATATATTTTATACATAATATTTTATATATTTTATACATAATATTTTATACATAAATATTAACAAAAACATGTACTTAGAATTGATACGAATCTACAAGAAACGTGGGGAATATCCTCCCCATGGGTATACTGGTGCGTAAGCTGGCGGTGTGTATGTTGGCGGTGCGTATGCTAGCGGCGCGTACGCTAGCGGCGCGTACGCTGACGACGGATATACTGGTGACGGGTACGCCGGCGGAGGCGGGAATGTCTGCGTCGGCCGCGGAAAGCGTGGTGGCCTCGTGTGCCATGCTGCTTTTTTCATACGTTTGTTCTCTTTTTGAACTTTTCGGCGTATAACGTCCTTAATTGCCTGTAAAAGAAGAAGTACATTATTAGAAATTATCGTAAGTCTCTCAGACTTCTAGTCTCTCAGCTTGAAGCGTGTGCTAGCTATCAAGCGCGGAGAGCAACAACACCGCGGAAAAAGCATACGTCGGTTGAGCGATCCTAGTCGGTTGAGCCAACGTATGTGAGTGAACTGCTAATAATCACATGTACATTCATGATCGTTCGCGGTGAT